CTTAGTGTTAAATACATGCACGACCAAAGCAGCTTAGTATTTGCCGAGTGCTTTCCACCTGAAGGCAAAAAAGCAGCAGTGGAAATTTTGAACACTGCACTTTCACTGCAGATGGTTTTCTAAGATGTAGAAATGATGATTGTTCCTGGTTAATGATTGAAGACGTGGTTAATGTTTACTTTTGGTATCTATCAAATGAGGTAAACAGAGTTAAGATAAACAGTATATGCATAATTGTGAGATGCTGCATGCATGTTCGAATGTTAACTCATTCTTGAATAGTAAGGCTTTATGTTGCATCACATTTACATCAGATTTTCAGTAAAATCTCAGATCTGAACAATCTTGGAAGTTACAAGGCAGTGAGATACAACTTTCCTATTGGAACAAAACTCTAATAACCAAAGTGGCGCAAAATTAAATGTTAATGAAGTTCTTGTTAATAAATTTGAAAAATGAACATGCAAAGTAAAAGAGGGGAAGAGGTAGGGAGGAAAACCGTAATTTTAAAAACCAATCTTAAAAACAAACGTAATTGCTAAGAAGCTCCGTTCCTTACATGGGACTGCAATAATATATGTGCCCATTCTTTCTGTTTTGCCAGGACTGCTTCATTGGATTTGGAGGAAATGTAATCAGAAAGCAAGTGAAGGAGAAAGCTAAATGGTACATTACTCACTTTGATGAACTGCTAAAGGAACTGGAAGAACGATAAATTATACAGTAAAATAATATATTTAACAACTATAAATCCATTATACAATGCAATTAAACATATATTTGTTTGCAAAGTTGTGTTCTGGATTTTTTAATGATTCTGGGTGTTGGGTACCTTCATCTCTGGCCTGAAATTTGTGTTGCAAATGGCACCATTCTACTCACGTACTTTGTAATGAAAACGATAAGATTTTTTAAACATCTTTTCCAAGGTAGAAGATGTCAGTTGATTATTCACTCACAAGTGAAGACCAAAGGTAGGAAATTATCAGTAAGTTAAAAATACCTTAATGGATTGGCCCCTGGTCAGTACTGCATATCTATTGTTTCAGAATCATTGAAGCTAATACCTCTACTTATTTTGGGTGGCAAAAGAAGAATAAGGGGGCCACAAATGAGAAGTTTGTCTAATCAATAACAACAACAACAACAACAACAATAATAACAACAACAACAACCAACACCACCACCCAATAATATAGTCTAAAAGGTAAACGGTATGGGAAGTACTTTCCATTCCGAAGAATCTCAGAGTTAGGTTAAACAGTGAATGGATAGGTAGGAAACATTACCAAGTATCTCTGATTTCATTAAAACATGGCTACAGGAGAACCCGAGATGTCATCTGTTACTCAATATCACTGTTACTCAACCTGTAGTCTGAAAGACAGGAGTTGCAAGCAAATCTGAGATATATGCAATGTTCAGTGTCCAAGAAGCATATTTTAAGGTGAATGATGTAGTGGTTCCCATACCTCATTAAAATACTTTAAACTCCAAAATGGCGATTTTGTAAAATGGTCACACTGTTGTTCACTTAACTGTTTTATTTATTTAACAATCCCCCACATCAACCTATAACTGGATGCAAGCTAATTCATCAACCTTTAAAAAAAAATGGTCTACTGATTAAGAAAATACTGTGAAACTTGTCTAGTCTCTTCCTCTGCCTCAAGTGTGGATCAACCACCCTTGAACTGTTTGTGCTAAAAATAAGTCTCACCTGTTCTACGTACTTCTCTGAGCTTTAGCTAATGAATCCTAGTTTCTTAAGGATTTGTCTCTTGTGGCTGCAGTGTCTGATCCAAGAGGGTCCTTATACAGAACACACTTGATAAATGCTGCCTTTTTGTCAGCAAGTTCCTGACAACTCTTCGGAGGATGTCTTTTTAACCAGCTTTGCTGACACATCATGGTACTTTTATTTCCCTGGCTTATAAGAATCCCACCTCTGATAACGTGAAAAGCTTTACTAATGTTAAAACATATGTCACATCTTCCACTTCCTTCCATCCACGTAATACCATCACAGGAGAAAGATGGGTAGATATGACATGATTTGTCCCGGAAAAAAATCCATGCAGGCTCTTATGTTCTGGGCACTTACAAACAGTCCCAGTATTTTTCTGGAAACTGAAGATCAGGCTGAGTGCGCCAATTCTCTTCCATCCCACAACATGTTTCTCTTCCTATCTATGAAGTAAGTGATGTGCCTACCCTCCAAAAATCTCACACTGTCTCCACAAGATAATCACAGGTTTTCACAACTTGCACTAGATTTCCTTAATTTAATAAGATTAAATCAAGGTGCAGTGAGAGAGCTCCTGTCCAATTGTTTAAGCATCACCAACAAATAAAATAAATACTGGTTCTGTCCATTCTGTGACATCATCAGAAAGGATATAGGGGAAAGACGCGTTAACAAAGCCCCAGAGAGTGATGAATGGCAGCTCTCAGTGATGCCATCTAATGTTTTTAGGAAAAAAGCTGAGGCAATAATTGCTTGAAGTTACAACAACATTTAAATACTAGAGAAGTAGAAGGGTTAAAAGAAAACAAATCCAGAAACAAACTTCTGATGGCTTTTTAGAGAAAGGCAGACATATAAACAGCTATACTGAATATCTGTATACAGAGTTTAAAAAACTTCACAAAATCCAAGACAGACAATAGTTGGCAGGTTGCTCAGCAGAACTCTTCTGGGAGTATTAAAGATGATCTCTTTTAAATTCTTCCTGAGAAAAATCTCAGCCAACTCCAAGGGCAGCTCATGTACAATCATGCTTTTGTTTAGTCAAGACTGCATGAGTAGAACAAGTATAAACTCTTTCTGCTCATTCACTGTGTTCCTCTGCAATTCTACAGTTATGAAGCAGAAGTGTTTCTATTTGCTGCAGTTTTCTATTGAATTAAAAGGCCACTAAAAAAAAAACCCAGCAAACTAACATCCAGCTAATCAGCTATAGCTACAGGCCCTGATCCTACAAACACCGTGACACGCTTCATTTCAAGTATATGTAATTTCACTAATGCCACAGTCAGAAGACCGTGCAGGAGGTTCTGTGCCACAGAGATGTTAACATTCACAGCAGAATCTTCTGCCAGTCTGAGTGCTATGGAAACATGGCATTGTGCCAATGATTTCCCAAGAGCTCTTTAGGTCCTGACTGGTCTGAAAAAAAAAAAACCACCCCCCTTCCACTGGGCAAATATCAAGCCTGACCTCTAGTCCAGGAGGTAGCAAAAGGATTACTTAGCTTAGTCAGTAGCTAAGCTCTTTTGTCTGTAAAATACTGGAAAAAAATAGGAGGGAGTAAAGCAGCGTGAGGGAAGTTTCAATGTTACAACCAAGCTACCGATTTACCTGAACATATCCCATCACAGTACAGCAAAGTCTGGAGAGCAGCACACGTCAGGCAAGTAATACCTGGTCTTCAGGCGGGTCTCCTGACTAAGAGCATGGGGAGACACACCGCTTCATATAAAGCCTTTTATTTTAATGCGACTATCCAGTGAGGCAGAATTGCTTTAAGTTATATATTCAATTTGCATGAGGGGACTTCTTAAAAGAACAGTTTGCAGTCTTTTCTAGGAAGACTACAGGACAACTAAACTTGAGTTTTAATTGTGTCTTCATTACAGTGGAACAAGAATTGATAATTACCAGAGACCCTTCCAGGCATTGTCCCCCACTTTCCAACCACTGGAAAGTGACTTCAGTCCTGAACTCTACAAATTATGCTCTAAGAAATGTTGAATTATTGCTAGTCAAAGCAAGAAGGCAGACTTGGCCATGAAATTAAGAGGGAAAATCAGAACAGTGTTCACAACAGGGGAAAACAAACTTCAGAAAGGGCTCACACAAAGGGACGCAAGAAAAGATTGGCATTACTTATTTATCTACTGTGTTATATTCGGTGAGTTTATGTAGTTATCTGTAACTAAAATAACAGGAACTAATCTCTCTCTGATGACAACCAGAGCACAAGTTTGAAGCTCAGAATGACAGGAGGCACATTCATAATACATTACAACAACACTAGTGGGAATTCAGATCTTAGGTAGTGTATAAAGACTGAAGAGACTCGTGCCGTATGATATCATCCTGCAGAACATCCAGTTATTGCTTAGATTTCTTATTCACGCAAAACTTCATGGTCCTTAAACAACAAGAGCTCTGCCTATTTAATTCCTAGTGCTCCTGGCTGAAGGTAAGAAACACGGATTGCATCAGAACCCACAAAATCCTGTAACTCCAAAAATGTTTTTCACCTTTTGTCTCTGACCAAGATCGCTGGTTATGAGGGGTAGGTTACAAGGACAATTCTCTAGGAACAAGAAATATGGGACAATGGTGGGAGAAATAACAAGGGACGGAAGCTGATATTGTCATCCTTTTTCTCTTTTTGCAGCTAAACAGTAGTCCCAGAAGTCTGGAAAAATGACAGCCCCAGATGACAGTACTGCTCATGACTGATTTACAAGAAGGAACACCTGAGATGATGTACTTGGCCCACTGAGTAAGCCAAGCTGAGAACTTTCAGCTAATATAGTACAGAATTTTACTCAGTAAAATCCCATAATCAGTTGACAACAGGAGGAAAATATGAAAACAGACAAGAATCAGATCAAATATTGACTTTGTTCAAGATGAAATTCAAGCAAAGGCAAGAGTGCAGTGTATTTCACATGGGAAGAAAAGAAGAAGTCAGAGCTGAAAAATTAAGCATAATTTGTGGAGAAAAATCGAAAGGAAAAATATTTTGTATTGATCACCACAGCACTTAGGACCTCTAGAACACTTAGCAAAATGGGATGTAATGGAGATACTGTAAATTCATTTTGGAGGAGGAGAGCAGAATACTGGGAAATGCTGTCCCTGACACAGAGAAGTGATATTGGCTAACTAAGATGAAATATTCTATGCAATTATTCATATTTTCCGTAATAAACACTGCAAGATGAGAGAAAACACAGGTGTTGCAATACATATAAGGTGCCAGTAAAATGTGAAAATTAAAAGGATTTTATTGACTGATATGTTCTTCCTGAAAACTCATTGAAATGTACAAACTGGACATCAGTAACTGATTTGTACATTCTGTATGTTACACTGATTCTTGTAGCCACTTTAAAGAGAGAATATTATTTTCACTTACAGGATGTTCACATCATTGCAGACACCAAAAGTGTTGACATTTTCTAGTCTAAAAGTGAAACCAAAATAGAACTGGACATAATGGTACACCGCTTTATGCCAATCCTATTGACTCAACATGCGCCAGTTTCACACATCAATTCATAAGTACCTACTGTACAGTTAGTGAAACACCCGACCAAGCATATGTCTGAAGTCATGAATGCTTATTAAATTAAACCCCTTTTCCTAGACTTCCAAGTTATTTGTAGAGATAAATGTATTTAACTGAATTTGATTCCCTGCAGAATGTTCAGACAACCACATCTTGTCAGTATCTCTTTGAAAACTGTAGGTCATACTTCACAAAATTAATTTCAGGTGTAGATATCTACACAAATGTGCAATTAGTTTCAACAGGCTTCAGAGTCCTTGCAAAACAGAATGCCCTATTCTCTGTCCATAAGCTATCACCTGACAAACAGTATTATCCTCAATTAATGACTGCCTATTTGTAAATTTAGAGCTACTTACTGATTTCAGGCCTGCTAGAACAGCTAGGTGTATTTCAGAGCTGCCTGAGGGCTTTAGAGCTTCTAATTTCAGAACTCCCACGTTTGTTTTTAAAATCTGCAGTCATTATAATGCTAACACAAAGACCACAGCAACTGTAACGCTCCATTCTGCTGCTGTTCCTGAACACCAGGCATTGCCTATGTAGCAGAAGATATTAAATACTGTATGCCATACTTAACCTGAGGAGCTGTCTCACAGAGGAACTCATGTATGTCTTTGTACTTGTTTTCAATTAACCAACCCTTTAATTACAGTCCTAGATTTCTTTTTTCCTGGTACAATCCTAAGAGCAAAACGTCATTAGATTCTGAAGAAAAGAGGTCTCTTTTATAAGCTCAATACAGTACTTTTATATTTCAGACTATGATATACAATGTATACCATAAATTAATTTAAGACAAATACTTGTCACTTTATCTATGTAGGCACAAGTAAATCAGTGACTTTACTGAAGCGGAGAAATCTTCAATGGTATCATGATTCTGGACTCCATTTCCTGAATAAGGGGCACTGAAAAAAAATTGAGACAGGGTTTAATTTCACTAACAGAGATCATTAGCAGTTCTGCACACTCAGTTTGAACAGGTATTATTGTCTTCAAATTACTCTCCTAACTAGTGCATGCCAAGTCATCAGTAACCACCAACATTCCTGCAACTGAAGCATAGTAGTTTTGAGAACAAGTGATTTTTTAATATAATCTGTCTGCTCCTTTGAAGACAAATATTTCTATTCCTTTTCACCATAATAAAGTTATCTTACATTTTTCTGGTATACTTCCTTTGAAGTGCACCTATGGAACCAAAATCTGACATGCTTAGCATACTTTTGAGAGTTTTGTTATGAAAGCTATCTTTGATCTCAAAGATCTCCTGGCTTCTACTTCCAAAGTCTAAATTCCCTTTTCAAAGGAATGCATTTAACAAGGCTCCCATATTTCATACCCATATCAGAGGTAATAATTTAATATAAAGATAAATTTCACTAGTGGCTCCCTAAATTTTTGGACACAAACTTAAGCATTTACACAAATCTGTTCTTCTACAGGAGAGGTGCTTGTATAAAAATTTACTATTAATGTAGCCATTTTCTAGCAATTAGGAACTTTTCCAAGTTGGTAAGATCAATTGCAAAATTCACTTTGCAGCTTAGTGAAATGTCCCTCCTTTCCCTTACAGTAGAAAAACCGACGCACACACGCCAGAGATGCAAAACTTTTTATCATCGTGCCCTGTACTGAAAAACAAAAATGATGGCATGCACAAAAGTCTACCTCCAGCATTCCAATGAAGTTAATAGGTTACCTGTGTAATAGACTAGTTCGTCCCAGCCAGGTTTATGCCACGCAGCGTTCCTTATATCTTCTCTGGTTTGGAGATCTTTGTAAGCTGGTGAGGGAAAACAACAAGCACAAAGCTTAGAAGTAACTCCTTTTCCTTCTACACATGAATAGCTCCCTTAAAAGTATTCTCGTGCGTAATTAGGAAGCTGCAAACACTGGGAAGGAAAAAAGTCAGAAGTTGTTCTCCACAAAAAGGAAAAGCTCCCAAACCCAACGCAAGCAGAAAGAACTGGGGAAGAGAGAGAATGTCTTAGACACAGGTAAGACAGATAATGCAAAAGAGTACAGCTCTACACGAGTGGTGTCAGATTTTTAATGCTGGAATATAATATTCTGAATTGTCGAGATATGAAGGCAATACCGCATATTTTCTAAAATAAATATTAGACAATGAGTTTCTTCAAGTTGAAACAATCCTAACATGTGAAAAGCAGCTAAGCATTTGTGGAGACTAACACACAGAGAAAGCCAAAACACCATGATGTAGTAATGTAAATAAATGCTTGACTTTCCTTTTTGTAGGTGTGGTGTATGTGATGCTTGAAACTAAACTGTAAAAACCTGACCAGCATGAATAGGGATGGAGAAAAGAGATGGCAGGACATGGCTTGTCATGCTCATGTTATAGACAGCAAACAAGTAGTCCCCAATAAGAAAGGGCCATGAGAAACTGTTGATGGAAACAGAACAAAACATGAAATGTTCACTTCTGCTTGTTTGTTTGAAGAATAAAGTTACCTACACAAAAATGTAGAAAATCAACACTGTTGATGCAAAACAAAAAAAACCCTTTTAAGACATTCCTTTGCCTTTTGTAAAAACCTTGTCTCCTGGGCAAAGTCAACAGTCTGTTAGGGGCTGATTCAGTGATAAAAAAGCAGAGAACACAAATTTACCCCAAAGGTGATGAACCATATACAGCTGTCCAATTTGTGAGAAAAATCCTCCAACTGCTTCATTCTTATCCTGTCGGAAACGAATTGCACGAGCCCTACAGAAGAGCAAAGCAGCCGTTAAAAACAGCAGATGTGGGAAGGAAATAAGTGATAATTGAAAGGAAAACAGAGTTGAAAAGAAGCTGAAATGTTAAACAGCATTTGCAATACACTTCACAATTAAAAAGAAGAAAAAAAAATCTTCAATACACTGATTTTCAGCACTAAGTAATTAAAATATACCTATATATCTTGTTAGAATGAGTTTAAATTGGAGGCCTACAGTTTCACTAGACTGTGCATTAATTATTATTCAACGTTAGATTCAGTGTAAAGATAATTGCTGGAACAGTGTAAAGTGGCAGGCCATTTTTACAGCAGGTTCTTCTAAAACTAAATCCATGAGTTTCAGCCATATCGTCTTTGCCACACTCATTTACCACAGATTTTGTGGTAGCACAATACAACTTCTTTATTCACACAGACCTCTGCTTTGCAGCTGTCCTATGCAACACTCCATGATTTGTTGTGTAAGTAAGATCAGTATTTCTCTTAACTATAAATCTGTTGCATCTTCTAAAAGAGATTGGCTACCACTATAAATATGCCTATTATATAAAAATTCTAAATTCAATTTACTTTATTCAAATTACTGTAATTAAATAAATTATATTAATGACAATGACACATCTAAAAATCCAAGTCCTCACCTTTGTCAAAATAATTGAAAATACTCCAAATTGTTTAACTATAACCATTAGAATTGCAAGAACAGTGAATGTAAACTGAAAGAAACTTACACTGGTTTTAAATAAGACAAAATCAGAAGCATATACTCAACAGAAGACTGTCTCAAATGGTTTTAACCTTTAGATTAAAATACAAATGTGCTGCTCAATAGCTTTTCAAGAAGCAACTTGACTTTTAAAGCTTAAAAGTAAGTCAGCTTCTAGTGGTCTCGTGAAAGTTGTGAAAGATCAACATAGTCTCAAGGAGTTAACCGCCATCCTTCACTAAGCAGTGCTTTCTGCTGAAAATAAATGGTTTCTGCTATATTACAGCAAACTAAAAGGGTTATGTGAAGGAAAGCCAAACATTGGGCCACAATGTTGTTGGCACACAGAATTCCTCTTTCTTTCCTCAAAGGATAAATTAAGGGTCAAAGAACTATCTTACAAGTGGCATAAGTACAGAAGCAGGCCATTAACTGTGTGACTGAAATGCTCTGGTACCATTCTGCCACCTCCACTTCATGATTTTTAAACGTACGTCTCTCAAATAGGAGAATGCAAGTGCTAAAGCAACACTTACCAGTAATTTCCCCACTCAATCATTGTTCCAGGCTACAAGAACAAAACAGACTGTTAAAACTGTAGTTTAAAGAAAGTTAGAATACTTGGACAGTTTTCACAACATTTACATATGGAAAACACTATGTATTAACAAAATCACTTCCTTCAAGTGATAAGCATATTATATTAATCTGTAATTACTCTGTTTGCTTACTGAATTACTTCTTAGTCATTTGCCTGAAGTTTCCTTCAAATGAAAACACAGGGTTTTCAGCCCCGCAGATATTAGTATCTTGTTGGAGCCTGCCTTCATTTTGGACCCCACACTTTGAGAGCAACAATGACTCAGACATCAGCTTTGATAAGAACCAGATTTTTAAGATGAGGTCTGTTTTCCATCTACATTGTATAAACATGCTTTGAACATTTTACAACAGCACAGAGCTTAAAAAATAAAAAGAAAAATTTAAACTTACTCTAAGTTGATAGGATCTCAGTTCATAAATATTAGGCCCCTCTCTGGGAACAGGTTCATTCCAGAAACTAAACTCCAATAATAATTGGTTCTTGCGTGAGAGAAGCATGTTACCTCTTTCTTTGCGAAACTCTGTGAATTCCTAAAAAACCAATGTGATCATTGTCAAACTGTGCTTCAACAACAAAAAGCAGTATACCATACGGTGGCTTAGATTTTTTTTTTTTAATGCTATCTTGGGGTTTGGGGACATTGAAATCCTTTAAATTGTAAAGGTATCTGAATTCCCCTGGCATATTTGAAAATTTCAAGTGGCATGTTTACACAGCACTAAGTGCAAGTGTTTCATAAAGTGTTCAGATATTAAACCTTAGTATTTCTGAATACAAGAATAAACCCTTTTCCAAAGAGGTTTCTAAGTTTGTACAGGAAGTGATGAGATATTGAAGTAAAAGCAGGTATCCAAATGTGCAGTTTTTGCTCTTGACTATTCTTTGTTCTCTTCTGAGCAAAATAACCAATTCTAACAAAATCAATGCATTTTACCTTATTTTGACGGAGTTTACTCATGACCTCATTGAGAGCTGGATAGCCTCCCTCATATCTCCACAGATGAACTGAAATAGAAAAAAGAAAGCTTTTTCAGGGATGTCACAGACCAGCGCTAAATCTTATGGAATATCACAGTGTAAAATGCTCGTCATACTACAGAATTATACAAAACCAGAAATCAGGTAACAGGTTTAAAAATAGATTTTCATTAAAGAAAGCACTACATATTTGAACATTTTAAGAATAATGGAATCATCTGCTTTTGGAAAAGGGTTCTCTTGGAAAATTTTGCAATCTACTCTGAAGGTAACAGGGAAATTTCTGAAAGGACTTTTTGTTGCCATGCTAGTAAGACGTGATGACTTTACATGACTGTAGTCGAAATTGAGATTGAATTTAAGAGGGTGACTTGATTCCAAAAATGTGTTTTATACCAATTTCATCTAAGAGCAATAGAGGGCTGGACTTTTTAGCTCAGTAAATTACTCAAGCACAAAGAGCAACATGCTTTCTGTAGGACGTGAAAAATGATGCAAATGTTATTTTTGACGTAAACATTACATTAAAAAAAGCAGAAGACATCTGAACATGCTAGAATTGTTACAATTGCTAGGATTTTCCCCATAAAAACAATTTCAGAACAGGTATCTACATTTGAGTTTTTTCAAAGCATTCTCTCTTTAATAAATCATAATAAAACCCTTTAATAAATCATAACAAGATTTATGTACAAGCACTTAATATAGCAAGGCAACAATATTTCACCTCAAAGAGTCACAAAAGCTATTTTCTCTCCTCTAAAGCAGTCCTCTGCCTTTTCCAGGAGAGCGAACTGGAGACTAATGTAAGGCACTTCACTATGATAGCAGATTCATCCAGTGCGCCTACTTCCGCTGTCTTATCCCCAGGGCAAATTTGATATATCCACCTAATATTAACACAGCCCGGGCACAAGTACTGAACAAGTCAAAACCCCATAATCTGCTTTATTACACTGCTAGAACTGCTCCAATAACATTTTCAAGGCAGGCTATGGATGCAATTACAGATACAGTCTATGTTAATACGTTACAAAAGCAACAAATGAGACTTGGCTAAGATACTCTCACTTCAATTGTCTTCATTCCCTAATTTCCTTTCAACTTTTAGAATTGTTTCTCAGACATCGTTTGGTTTATCTACTGTTATTTCTTTGCGTTTGTTCAGTGTCAATATTGCAATATGCTGTGAATGCAGGAAAAATTAACGTGCACCTATTTTTCAATAACGAAGCAATGACATTGATACTAGCATAGCTCTAACAATAGAGCTACACAACAAACTACATAACAAGTATCAGTACACCACTCTGTATCTGTGGCTTCCCATTCCTTTTAATTTCCCAGAGGAAATTTTTCAGGTTTTCTCTCTACACTAGACTCCCTTGTAGTTACCTCCATAGCAGCTCCTCAGTAATTTCTAGTTCCAATATATTTTCAATCTGCACAGTTAGGCAGTATCCTTATATGAACATGAACAGAAGTATTTTTACTTTCCTCCAGTAAAGGCCTAGCTCATTGTCGAGTTTATAATGCAATCATTTTTTCAGATGGCATGAATGATTTGCATTTCATTGTCATACAGCAGTTACAGTACGAAAGTCTGAGTGAAGCTTTTATACTGGCCAATGCAAGATAAACTCTGTCTTTGTAAGCCTTTGCCTTTACCCTAAATATTCAGGAACATAATCTGTGCCCACAAAATATTACAGGACCACATTTTACAAGCATTTCCCAAAACTGTTAATCTACCACCTGGAAAACATGAAAGTGTATTAACAATAGGACAAATTTTAGGAATTAATGCTTTACTGTCAAACTCAACAAGACAAAAAGCAAGCACTGTAAATGTTAATATGAATACTGATAATTGATGCACACACACCCTCACTGTATACATTGCTAAAGGTTTACTGTCAACAGAGATGATTTAAAGAGAAGAAACCTGCCAAGCACACGTTTCACTTGTATGGTTTTACATTCTGTTGTACTTCTATCTCCTACCAGCCTGATCTTGCTCTCCGTACCACGTGTTCCAAGTCCCCACCAGTGCACATGGGTAGTGTTTTTCTTCATGAATCTTTGGCAGCACCTCTTGACTTGAAAACAAGGAATACAGACACTATGTTGCATTTCCTTCAGGGAGGCTACAGTTGATATGTATAACAAATCACCACACGTTTATCATTATGGTATGAAAATTCACAAGCTCTACTTTTCAGAAGAGAAAGCTGAAATACAAAAATCTGCTATACAGGGGAAAGATAGCTACAACACTATGAAAAATTAAGGTAAGTGTTACCATTTCTTAGACTGTATGACAAATACACAGCATGGTAGAATTCTTTCGATGCAATAAATTATGTCTATCACCTAAAAGGTTATCCAACACATTAGTAAAATAAATATCAGGATATCTCACTTACAGAAAATGCAGCCTAACTACATGGGTGATGTGCTTTAGGAAAAGCTCTTTATCAAGGGAGGTAGAATACACAAAAATAGGAAAGGACAGTCTTCTGTACCAGTTATAATGGTATTAATTCTGTTGAGCTGAGTGAATAAAAACAAGTACTTTGATAGATCAAATGATGATTGTACTTCATAGTATGCAGCCTTCTTGCTTTCTACCATTTCAGAAAGTGGTCTTAGTTTGAGGCAACTTACCCACTAAAGCATACACTGAAACTGCTTTAAAAATACCTCCAACACAAAATTTCTGTTTGACTATTTCCAGTACTTCTAACATTTTTTCAAACTTTAAAAGTAGCCTACATTAGCATTAGGAAATTAAGTTTTACCAATTGCTAACTCGGTTAAGACAGCTTTCATTGCACTGTACTTTGATGAATAAGTCAATTAATCTGATTGAACTCTGCCTTTTAATATTTTTCCCTGAATAATTACCCCTCTTACTCAGTTTGGCTCATAGGCAATGAGTTTCTGCACAATATCAAGTAATAGGAAGTAGGCTGGTCTTGGGCTGACAGTCATTAGATACGAGTTTTCCTCTTGATTCTGCCACTGACTTTCTAGACAACCTTGAGCAAATCTCATTACCAATTTGTACCTCAATATTTCTCACTACATAGTGTAAATAATATGATAGAATGACTCTCCAAGGATATTTTCAAGGATGTTTCACCATCAGTTCGTTTTTGCAAAGCATAAGGAGATCCTAGAAAGGCAGCTTTAAACAGGAATGTTGAATTATTACAATAATGCTAAAAATATATTTTGTTGCAAATTATAGAAAAAAATGCCCACAGAATACGTTATGAACACCATCTTTTTCCTTTTTAAAAATAACTGTTCCTAATTCTTCAGAAGGGGTCCTTAACCACAGTGATTCATGAAGTAGTCTCATAATTGTCTTAATTACATTTTTTCTTTATTAATACATGATGACTAATCCTTATTCTGATTTGATACAGAATAAGGAATTAACCTGTTCATCTTTAATTTAGGGAGAAGAAGGAGGGAAGTTCAAGAGGCTTAGGTTTTTTTATTACTCCATTCTTATGTTTTCTCCTTCCCTGGAATACTTAAATTTGCTTTGGTTTGGAAACAATAAATCTAAACATCTTCATCCGATTACTGTCAGCAGTTTCTTTCTTTGCTATTGTCTCTTTCCTTGAAAATAAAACACTGCTTTCACTCAACATTTAGGTAGCTCGTGAGATAATGCGGAGATGTGGTTCCCTGTCTTGTATAATGGGACATGTTCATATTAAGCTTTTAAACAGAAAGCTGGCTGAATGCTAACTGTGCTTCTCTGTGTATCTATTCTTTAAAACAAAAAAGCTAAAAGTACCTTATGATTCAATGTTATTCTAGTGGATTTCTATGTTTGTATAGCAAGGAAAACAGTTTTGGGTTAATTAGCCCCATTTCAAAGCTGAACACATGAAGGCAGAGAGATGTTAGACGACCTACACATGGCTGTACAGCCAACCCATAACAGAGTCGAGGACGGGAGTTGTGAACTTCTTCCCCACCCTCCAGCCCAGCTGGTGTTCTCACCAATACACCACACTTAAAAAATTGGTTGCAGTAGGGTATCATTATGCTAGGAATGTTTTATTTAACTGACAAGACGATCACTATCAGTGAGAAAGCACTGCTGTTTCGAAACGTGTGAGGCTCACTACATTTCCAAATTTAAACATACAGTTCTTGAAAAGACAGTTGTGGCTCCAGAGGAGTGATTGTGTAGGTAGAACAGGACTAATGTTTCTGCAATTTTGTCCTTAAAGTAGGAAATTTAAAATGTTACTAATGCATACATTTTATAAAGCTGTAACTTTTTGGAAAACCCATAACAGTACTGCTCCCTTGGGAGGATATCACTCCAATGCAAAGATCCCATCGAAGGATTTGCATAGCTCTTTAAGAGTAGATCTCAGTAACATTATTTTTGTAGAAGGATATAGATGAGCTGAGAGAAAAGTCAATCCCTGGGTTTTTAAAATCTCCTCAAAGTTATACTTCAATTTAATATTGGCATGTAGTTTTACTTACCGGTGATCTCTCCCTTTCCTACCTGTATGCAGACGATAACCACCCTCAACACATTCTTACGTGGCAGCTGGAGTGGGACATGCTAGCATACCAGGATCTACCCGCATGGACCAGCAATTGTAAGACAACTAAGGGATGGGGGAGAGCTGTTCCAACAAATGTCACCAATGTTTTCAGAAAAGGCATCATCCTAAATTGCAGCTTAGGAAAGTGACACCGCCAAGAGGGAAGGCAGGGGGTGAACTGAGTAAAGTATCTTTTGCCATTTCCCTCCAAGAATAACATGATCTATTTATCATCATACCCTGAAAGTAAAAGCAGAATTTTTCTACCTCCCCTCTAAATAATTATGATATTTGCCAATTTTCAGAACAGCTTGTGATCAAATCAACATATCTAAAATGTGAAAACATCATACGCACACTTACCAAAGCTTGTTGTAGGCGTCTAGACATTCTGGTTTTACATTGTGAACTGAAACAACAACATTACGTGAGAAATGCAGGAACAGAATAAATAAATGGCAATGTTAAATATAAAAATATCACTCACTCTGTAGTTTATACAGACTGCTGGTCTCTCTTTTGGCTAGAAGGTTGGAGTGAGCATCTTTCCTTGGATCAACTTTGCGAACAAATAGCGATTTTAACCAACTGTCTTCACGAGGTCTGCTAGCTGAAGATACCAGCCCCCTACATATTAACAAGTACATTATACTGTCACTGAGCGTGTCTTGAAAATGCCCACAACACAGGGAAGATAGGCACTATCAAGTTTAATGCAAACAGTATCATAACACACAGTTACATACACGTCTGTTACTAAAACTTTCCACTGAGCCACTTCCTAGCAAGGTAAAGGCAGTTTTTCCCCCACTGAGATTTACGCCCTCACAAACCATTTTACTTGACACAGAGCTGAACAGTTAACGGTACACTATTCACTTTTATTCTTTGTGCACACGGCAGGGAATGGATGGATGGCTGCTTTTGCTGCCAATTCATCTTCTTTTTAATCAAGTGTCTTTGCTCAAAAAGGCTGGGTCTATCCTGAAGTACACAGACGAGTGAAAAAGAGCAAGTGTGCATAAGGAAAAATTGGTACAGTGTAAATAGGAAAGTAACTGCCATATGTTCCTATGTTGCTTAAATATAGCTCTAAAAAAGGAAAAGTTAAATAGCACATCTTTCAAGAGAAAAAATATAATGAAAGTCTAATTTTGGAAAAATGACGAGTGGCAGGAAGCAAACAGCCTGCAAATACTTCAATTCCAAGTTCTGGCAACTGTACTACGTAGGGGTACAGAACCACATTCTTTGTACAACATTCACAATTTCCCTTTCTTTGAAACAGAAGAATTTCACTGTCTTTTTTTATCTAATCTTTATGCAGTTTCTGCAAGTACACTTCCGAAGTAATACCACTTCCCTTTATACCACAGAGTACACAAAACATTACACTTGATAACTGTGCTTTTTTAAAATAGTATGTTAAAGGAATTACCCTTCTCTTCTCCAGCTCACAGAAGACCCATCAATCACCAAAAATTGTGCAGAACAACAAGAAAGGTGATGTATTTAACTGATTCTCTACAACATATGACAGAAGATCCCAAGCTCAAATGTTTTTTCTTCTTTCTCGTAAGAAGCACTTCCTTCAATTTGCCTCTTTTTGATATGGGTTTCTGCTGAAATACTAAAATATTTCTCTGACATACTAAAAACGTGGCACTACAGCTGGAAATTTAAACCTTTTCCTGCCTCGCAAGTCAACTCTTCACCATTAATTACTGACTAGGGGATCCAGCTGATAGCTATCAATCTTCACCTATAAAGCTGTCTTCCAGATAATCAAGTTTGTGACAATCATTTGTCTTATAATTTGCATCTCAACTTCCTTTGGGAAAAATATCTTCACAAACGTGCCTGTCTGTATTACACAAAAGTAGTTCACACTAGCAGTGTTTTTCAACAATCAACCTCCTAATGTCTGAAAATAACATAATGAACTGGTTCACGCTGTGGAAGCAGGATGGAGGAAAGGAAAAGTATTTCATGACAGGGAAACAATAACAACCAGAAGAACAACTGCAGCTGAGATGACCTTCAATGTTAAGAAGTAATTGGTAAATGCCTTATTGGTGTATTTATTGAAAATGTTGCCTTCTTTGGCCCTAGGCAAACACACAAACAAGTTACTGTGCTGAAAGCTAAGCAGCTATTCCTGAGTACAAGCATTTAAAAGGGAATTCCACAATAAGGCTGTTGCTAGAATAGAGGGTAGGCAGCTGCCTGGAGTAGACGTATCTCTGATCTCAGCTGGAGGAGGCGAGGCACAGGTGACTGCAGTTGTGTTGTCACATCTATATCAGGTGCCACAGGAACACAAGCTGCCCCAGATGATAGGGGGTAAACACCACCTAATAAATCCAAGTTGTTTTAAAAAGCTCCCTTAAAGCACTAACGCTCACTGGACAGCAAACGGGGCTCCAGGAGACAAAACTCAATCCCAGTCCTGCAGCGCTCATTTTTTCAACTCAGACCTGTAAACTATCGCCATGTCCTCCCCTTTATTAAACGGAGTTAGCAAACTAATATTTAGAACACTGTTCTACGAGGATTATTGTTTGCAGCAAATTTTGAAGATGAAAGAGACAAATAATCATGATGCTTTTTTTGGGAACCAGCTTTATCAGCAGCAAGAGTAAGCTGGAGTTACAGGGATAATACTGAAAAGCAAATTCCTTTGCTATTAGGAGAGTCTCATGACTTGAATGTTAAACTGCACCTAAAACTGGAGGTATATTTAATTTTCAATACAATGAGTAATACATTTATGTAAAATCTTTTACCCAGCAATTGTAAAGTTCCTCACGAACAATGACCAACAAACCATGACTATCCATCTCAATATACACTTTACTTATAATAAAGAATGGTAACAGCTGAAGCTTAGTAAAACAAATATTCAGTGCACCCAACCTGAGATGCTTGGGCCTTATTTTTAATCCATATCCTTAGAGAAGTCCTACACTACTGGTGTCATTCTAGATACCCACAAATCAAGAAACCCTGAACTGATTACTGGTTCACTTGTGTGGGCAATATGTACCCAAGATTAGCTCTGGAAGAGTAGGGACTAAATTCATGTCTTTGGACTGCCAGTTGTCAGCATCAACCACAAATTAGTTCAAAACTAGTTCATCATCCAAAAGATCTACTTTTAACTAACTTCTTAACATTATGTCCCACAGTATTATAATACCTGTTCCAAGTAAAACAGATATTGGATCCAAATTGTTCCAAACCTCAAATACCGCTAATGAAAATGTGAATATACACATAGAATGAATGTAGACACACTATACGGAATTATCATCAAACTTCAGAATTTTTTATTTTCTGGGAACAATACTGATTAAAGAGAGTTTTCATGCCATCTCTTAAGGCACTGCCTGACTTTGCTAGCAAGTTCTTATCCTACGAACGTTAACTATAGGCTTACCTTTCTTGCTACAAAGATTGGGCTGTGAACACAAAAGGGTAACACTGAATAGCTTGCTTATATTAGATTAAAAATGACAGTGAAAACACTTCTATCCCACTTAGCTTCTGCTTTAGCACAAAATATAAACTGGGTGGGAGATATCAAGTCAAATATTTAGATTTTGTAGTAACCTATGTCTGCCTGGAAGAGAAAGAAAAACAACTTGTCTATAATTGACAGGTTTTGATCTGTGATCTAAAGAAAGTTTATTTGAAACAAAAAAAACCCCCAAAACACGTACATAAAATCTCACAACATATATTCTCCACAACTCTCCCCGTTCCTGTTTTAAACAGCTGCTTGCAGTGATGCCTTTAGTCTTGCACAGGGGCTGCTGCCCATTCTGAGGCTTGAGACACCAGCTTTCCCGGCTTCAAAGAAAGGGAGGAAAAAATGTGTGTAGATCCACCCAGCTTGGGTGCTTCTGTGTCTCCAGCACCCAGGGAGCATGTGTTGTCTGTTTCCTATACCCAAGAGACATGTGCACACATCTGTGCCCCGAGAGCTGTGTATGTGTGTATGCATCCTTGCCACCCAAGAGGTATGCATGTGTCTGACCCTTCACACACCAGATGTGGGCATGCAAATGTCTGCACCCCAAAATATGATGGATGTGTCTGTGCATGTGCCCTGACACCTGGGGGTTGTATGCACATGCACACACATCCCAGCTCCTAAGACAAGGATGAATACATGTGCCCTGACACCCAAGGGGTGCACACACATGCTGGGGTCCATGTGTAACCGTACATCATGAAGGCAGGAAGATGCTGGTGTGAGCAGTCATACACCCTGACACTGGAGGAAACATGGATGTTGGGTAGGGGTGCAACCTGGCACCTTGAGTGTGGAGCAGCTGTGCGTCCTGACACCAACGGGTGTTGTTGTGTGTGCAGCCATGCACTCCAACACCAGAGGACATGAGATGCAGTGTGGCCACGCACCCTGTTGCTTGGTGGAGTTGGGATGCGGAGTAGCTGTACGCCCTGGTCCTGGAGGGGTATCTGGGTGCAGAGCATCCATATACCCCAACACCAGGAATATACGTGTGCAGGGTGGCTGTGCACTCCAAAACCCGGCGATACGTGGCCGTGGGGTGCCTGTGCACCCTGTTGACCGCAGGGGTAGGGTGTCCGTCTAGCCTGAGCCCGGGGGACAGGCGGCAGGGGGTGGCGGGCAGCCCGTCCCCGGCGGGGCAGGGCAGGGGTGCGGCGCGGCGGATCAGCAGCGCGGCCATGATCCCCACCCTGGGGGGGACTTGGGGGAGGGAG